GTTGTTGTTCGAAAATCTGTTTTCCTAGTTTGGTCCACCTAAAAAGGCCTGGGGACGATGGGCAGCCTGCGGGCACAGGCGCATCCTGGCACTGCAGTGGGGTCTCTCTGAATCATTTCTAGCACTGGGCAAATGACAGAGTCCAGGTGGGGCCCAGAAATGGACTGAATAAATCTGGGGCGTCTTTTCACGTGAGAGAGCCAGGTCTTTTTCAGAGCACACTCAGCCACTCGGGAAAAGGTGTACCCAACATTTAAGGAGCCAAACCGGAAAAAGGCTCTAGGGGCCAAAGACGGCTGGTTCTGAACATCTAAGAGAGTAATAATTACAGTGAATTGGTATTATAAAATATAATAAAAATAATTTAAAGAGGGAAATAATCTCCTTCACCAGCTCTGAAAAGCACTAAAGGGCCATCTCATTGCCCTGAAAATTGGTAAATGAAGGGGAAAATCAGGCGTTTTCTCTGCCTTTCCTGTATGTCCCATTCCTGGTGATGACCAAAGAGTTGCTGAGTGCTGAGAGATGTTAATGAAAAACTGTACGTCCCTGCATCGAAAGAAGGAGCAGGTCTGGGCACTGACCCAGACTGCCAAAGGCACTGGGTGCAAAGCTGGGCCAGCTCTCAACGCCACCGGGAGCATCTGTGTGTCCCAGGGAGCATCTGTGTGTCCCAGGGGTCCTCGTCCTCGAAGATGGAACCTGAATGATGAAGCCTCCAGCTCTAATCACAGATGACAACGAAACATGCCTAATAATATCAGGATGCAGTTAGGAAAAGAATAAGTCTGTAGGACATATTGTATGTCCTATAAGGAAAATATATGTTTATAGGACAAACAATACATTCTCCTTCACCACAAATAGAAGTAGAGGTGGGGAGAAAGGGACAAACTATGGATTTAAGAGATCAAGAGATCAGCACAGGGTGTGGACTGTGCTTCCATCCCAGTCTGAACAAACCAATTATTGAACTAGCAGCAGCGGGCATGTAGATGCCCACCTGGAACCCCAGCACTCAGGAGGCAGAGGCAGGCAGATCCATGAGTTCAAGGCCAGCTTGATCTGCAAAGTAAGTTTCAGGACAGCTAGAACTGTTACACAGAGAAACCCTGTCTCAAAAAAGTAAACATTTTTTTCTTTTTGTTTGTTTGTTTGTTTGAGACAGGGTTTCTCTGTGTATCTTTGGCTGTACTGGAACTCACTCTGTAGACCAGGCTGGCTTCCTACTCTACTTCCTGAGTGCTGGGATACATGCGTCACCACACCCAGCAAATAATTCTTCTAATTAATGCTGGTATAGTAAGGGTACTGATGCATTTGGGAAATGGAGGATAAAGGATCAAGAATTCAAGTTAGGAGCAGCAGCTGCTCTTCCAGAGGTCCTGGGTTCAACTCCTAGTACCCACACGGTGGCTTACAACCATCTATAACTGTGGTCCAGTGAGATCAGGATGCCCTCTTCTGGTGTGCAGACAAAATATCCATATACATAAGATTCATAACTAACTAAATATGTTTTTAAAAAAGAATTCAAGACCAGTGAAGGCTATATGATGCACTGTCTCAACCAACTTACATATGTGGGAAGGAAATTAAGGTAGACTATTTTATGATGACATGGCATCATTTCTGGGGGTTTTCAGACTGAAACAGAATAAAAGGAGATGGTTGATGGCTGCCAAGCCAAGGTTTGCACCCACAGCATAGCAAGGGGAAAGTTTCAGAGTATACACTGTAAGGGGAGCGGCACTGTTTGTAGAGGGCTGCAGCCACCCAGCAGCAGAAACACTAGACGAAGCTGGCTCATTCTTTGAAGCGATATAAAAAGAGGCTACAGAGCGAGCTTCTAAAACACGGAGGCCCAATAAAAGAATGAGGCGGAGTGTCAAGTGTTTGGAAGCATCATAAAGTAGCAAGGAGTGGGTCACGTGCTCCAGAGGGACGGCTTTTATGAGGCCTTATCTGGCCATTGAATGCATTTTCCACAGTCTGACCTGTGAACTTTTTTTTGACTCTTTATTAATTTGGAAACTCCTGCTTTTCTTGGTCACCTTTTCATTTGCGCCTTCTTTTCCATTTCACTTTTAGGGACTGAAATGGGTCACATGATCAACAGCTTCCAGGTTTTGTTGTTGGGCCCGGTCCCTGTGAATTAGGAGAAAACAGTCTACAAAATCATAGGTGCAAGGGGGCATCAGTTTTGATATGTGCCAAAGGGGGTAACTGTGTTTGTGGTGCAGGATTGGGGTGCATGTGTGCTTGCCTACGTGTTTCCCAAAATTAGCACATAGTACAGGTCCCACAGAAAAGCCATTCTGAGAGAATGAGAGGCTGAGGAGATGGGTCAGTTGGTAAAGTACTTGTGCAAGTCTGAGTATCTGACCTTGTGTCCTCTGCACACACATAAAAAAGCTGAAACAGCATGTCTGTCATCCCATTGTGACTGTCCTCCCATGGTGCCTATCCTCCCATCATGACTGTCCTCCTATCGTGCCTGTATCCCATTGTGCCTGTATCCCTTTGTGCCTATCATCCCATTGTGACTGTCATCCCATTGTGCCTATATCCCATTGTGACTGTCCTCCCATTATGACTGTCCTCCCATTGTGACTGTCCTCCCATTGTTACTGTCCTCCCATTGTAACTGTCATCCCATTGTGCCTATATCCCATTGTGACTGTCCTCCCATTGTGACTGTCCTCCCATTGTGCCTGTTCGTCATCCCTGAACTGGGAAGGCAGATGCGTGGATCCCTGGGACTCACTGCCTAGCCCGTATCTCCAGCTTCATGGGTGGAGAGCTATGGAGGAGGACACCCAGTGTCAACCTCTGACCCCACAGATGCATGCATGTGTTTGTGTACACACACCCACACACACAAAGCTACTCCTTCATTACTAATCTACAGCATTCATAGGCAAAATGAAATGCAAAAGTAAACAATGGTTTTTAAAAAAACTAAGCTAGGGTCTTGTTAGGTGTGTGGTGCACGCCTTAATCCCAGCACTTGGGAGGCAGAGGGCTCTAAAAATCAAGGCCAGTCAGGGCTACACAAGTGGGAACCTATCTTTTCTTAACAAGGTGTTATTTTTATTTTTATGTGTGCATGTCATGCATGTGGGGTGCCAGTGATGGCCAGGAGAGGGTATGAGATGCCCTGGAGCTGGGGTTATAGGTGGTTGTGAGCCACCTGGTTCGGGTGCTGGAAACTGAACTTGGGTCCTCTGGAAAAGCAACAAGCTCTTAACCACTGAGCCTTCTCTTCAGCCCCCCAAATTGGTGTTCTTAAGAGTAGAAATTATAAGAACCTTCTAATGATCTGGGATACAAAAGGGAAAAGGAAGAGAAGGGAGGGGGGAATACATGTAGGTCACTAGACCAGATCTGAGAATTTATTAGCATATGACATCCCGTACATACTGGGAAGTAGATAAAATCCCATCCAAGCTTGACTCTGGAACATTACAAACCTTCCGTAAGGCCTGTCGTGAGACAGAGGGGGCGGTTCTCCATGCATGTGCATCCAGAGACCTTGTTCCCGTTGCTGTTTCTCGTAGACCTTGGCCACAGTGCTCCCCTCCAGTAAAGCCTCAAATGTGCTATCAATTTATTTGAATTTTATACATGAGAAATTGAACAAAGGAAAGTGTGCTGACTCTACTACTGGAACCCACAAGTCTGAAGAAGAGTGTTAGCCTCAGACTGTCCTGGTCGTGAGTGTGGCCATCTTTATAACCACGGCGAGGGAGCATGACTGTCTCCCATTCCTCTCAAGTTCATGCTGGTGTCTGACATTCGGCCTCTGAGGGATAGTTTAGCCTAGTCCTCCTGGGATGATGGGGGAATGGAGTTAGTGATGATGGGGCAGAGAAATGTTAAGGTATGTGAGGAGGGAATGGTCTAGCTTCTGGGCGGTAGTGGGGAGAGGAGTGCAGGGGTGGGGTGCTTTCCTACAGCCTCCCGCCATGCACTGAGCTAACTGGGGTTGAGTCACAGGCAAAGGTGCGAAGTCACTGGGGTCCAGGGTTCGTGTGATCACTCTTGCTGATGCCCACAGCGGGATTCCCAGCGCAGTGTGCTGGCCGCCTCCAAGACTGGCAAGCCTGCACAGGGTCTCAACCCAGGGCACTCGCTTCCACGCGAAGTGTCCTCTAGGCGTTTCCAAAGAGCTCGGTTCCTCCTATGTCCGCTGCCTTCCCCTTACAGTTCTGGTGACCTGTACATCCATCCCCAACCCTCCAGCCTGCCATGCCTGAGAAGAGGAATATTTTGCCATTCCCTCCTCCCAACTCAGCATCTCTTCTCCTTCCCCTCTGTCTTTCTCCTTTCCTTCCATCTTTCCTGTGGGTGCAAGTGAACCCCCTTAAACTCTTACTAGTCTCTCCGCACCTCCATAGGAACTTAGGGTCCACCCGCAAGTACACCCCAGTTCTAGCGGGTCTGACCTCTCCTCTCAGCCCTGCACCCGAATCACAGGAACTCTGCCCTTTCTTTCTCTTTTCTAGCAGAGTTCTCTCTTCCACACTTTTCCCACTTTGCTGTGACACTGTGAATTCGCCTTCCTCCTCGCCCTGGGTGGTCTGACTCCCAGAATCCTCTCCAGCATTCTGTCTCCCGGTACCGGCTGGGTCTTTGGATACTTTCGTGCTCCGCTGGCACCGTCTTATCCCCATGTTCCCAGATCGGAGGAACAGAGCGGGCCGCGAGTGGAGATGGATGCCTGGATAACCTTCCAGAGAGCTTCCAGTGCTCAGCCATTAATCCTCGCTGAGCAAAGCTTGTCTGGCCGCTCCAACAGCCAAATAAAGACTAACCAGGCCTGCTCTCTCAGACTCAAGTTCTACTCAATAAAATCAGCAACTACCCAGTTAAAAGGCTGGGGAGGGAGGGCAGGGGAGCGGGCGTACTGGAATGTGGAGGGTGGCTTCCCATCACCAAGGCTGTGTCCTGAGAGTCAACCAGCACTGTAACCTATTGCTTTTTTCGCTGTCTTCCAGGTTCTCCAAGCCAGCACCCATGTTTCTGGATGACTCCTTTCGCAAGTGGGCTCGGATCCGGGAGTTCGTGCCACCTTTTGGAATCAAAGGTCAAGGTATGTTGGGAACCCTTAAACATTAAACACTCCATTTTCCCACGCCATTTCCCTATCCTTCAAGACAGGGCTGTATCTTTAGAAGTTCTGCCCTGGGGCTGCTGAGATGGCTCAGTGGGTAAAGGCATTGGCTGCCCAGTAAGTCCAATGTCTGGGATCCACATGGTGGAAGGGAGAACCAATCATAATAAATTCTTCTCTGACTCCATGGTACCCATTTGTAAGTGAGTATACACATGTGTACACATACACATAAGTATGTGTGTGTATGTGAGAGAGAGACAGAGACAGAGAGACTGAGACTGTGGTGCAGTGCATACCTTCAATCACAGAAGCAGAGGCAGGCCAATCTCTGAGTTCGAAGTTAGCCTGGTCTACAGAGTGAGTTCCAGGTCAGGACCACATAACGAGACTCCGTCTCAGAAAACCAAAACAGCTCCCTGCTGGAGATTGTTCTGCACTGGCCAGAGCTGGGTCTGCTGCAGTGATGTGTGCAGTCCCTTTGGTCTCGCTCTCATCTAGTGAAGGAGCAGGTGCCTAGAGCAAGACCAGATCTGGTGCCATGAGACTGCAGAAGAGATGCGCTAGAGACATTGTCATAGTGCTGCAGCTACATGGAAGGTTCCTGGAAATGACAGACACTCAGCACTATCATAACCCCCACCAGGCTCCTGTAATCCCCACCCAGTGTTTTTCCTGCTGACTTAGCCTCTCTCTAATTGGTCTGTCTCTGTCCCAGGCTCACCTGTCTCTCTCTGTTCAGTCTCCCTTCACCTCCACACAGCCCTGCTTCTTTGTTGAGTGCCTGACTGTTCCGTGGCTTAGTGGGAGGATCAGGTAGGGTGTGAATCCCTACACTTCCCTCTGACTGTGTGACTCTGCTTTGGTCTCCCTGTCGCTAGAAAGACACCGTGCAGTGGTATAAGCTTATGGTCAGTTATGAAAAGGGCTGTTAAAGGGTGCTACTGTTTGGCCAGGAGATGTAACCCTTTCTCTGCTAGCCCAGCCCTGCCTGGAAAGAAAAGAAAAGCCAGCCAAAATGCTGTTGAACTGGGGCTCTGACCTCAAGCCTCCAATAGGCACATCCAATGGGTTAGTTTAAGCTGTGTGAAGACCCCCTTCCTCGGTACTTGTATCCAGGCAGACGACTCCTTCCTCCTGAATCCTCACTCACGACTGACTGTGTAGCTCCAAAGGCCAGCGAAGGCCGCTAGAGTCCCCAGCCAACGAGAAGAAAGCTGCTCCTCCGCTGTGCCCTTCTGTAAAAGGTCCCATCACAGAAAGCAAAGCCCCGTCTTTGTCCTTGTCCTTGACCAACTAATAGTGGTTAGCTCTTCCTTGGAGGTAAATTTGGAGGTGGGACAAGAAGAGAATGAGAGGTGCCCCCACTTTAACGTTCATCTGGAGGCACTTAGCGTAGAACGTCATTGAAGATTTGCTCCTCAGCCCACTCCCATGGGGCTTGTGGAGAACCTGACCATGCCCAGTCCCCCAGTCCCTCCTCTGTGGGACGGAAAGGTTACTTTCCAGTCATTCATGTGACCTCTTGCTGTTGCCCAAGTTGTGCGTGCGTCCATGCGTGCGTGCGTGTGTGTGTTTGAGACACAGTCTCACCATGTAGCCTTAGCTGGCCAAAAACTTACAGATGGGATGAAAAGTATGTGTGCCACCATCCCAGTTTACCCCCTTTTTACCACATAAAACTAGGCATGGCTGCTCATGCTTGCAGTCCTAGGACAGCAGGATCACAAATTCAAGTTCACTTTCAGCTACAAATCAAGGTTGCAACTGGATTCATGAGACCCTGACTCAAAATTAATAAAATAAGTAAAATAATATAATAGGCAGCATGCGCTTTCTTCCTGTTTTATAAAATAAAGTATACTGGCACTGTAGAGATGGCTCCATGGTTAAGAGCACTGGCTGTTCTTCCAGAGGACCCGGGTTCAATTCCCAGCACCCACATGGCAGCCCACAGCTGTTTGTAACTCCAGTCCCACGGCTTCCCATGCCCTACTCTGGCCTCCATGGGGAACAGACACACAGGGGGTATACAGACATGCATGAAGACAAAACACCTACATGTAGAAAAAGAAAAAGAAAGCCGAAGCTGGAGAGAGCTTCCGGTTGCTCTCCGGCCCACTGCCCCTCCCCAGAGCCACTATCCCTGTTTCAATGTTGATGTTTAGTGTTTCTTTGCCTTGGTTTTTATTTTTGCTACATATTTTCGTATCTGTTAAACATAAATCAGTTTTTCTCTGTGGGGCCTGGTGATGAGTACCCTAAATCCCAGTACTAGGGTGAGGGTAGGGGGAGCCAGGTTGATCTTCTTGAGTTTTAGGCCAGCCCAGGACTTTAGACCTTGTCTCAAAAAAAAAAAAAAGTATGGATCTGTGTGTGTTTGTGATTTTCATGTATCATATATGTGTGTATATGTGTACATTCTTTAAAATGATATTTTGCATGTATTTTAGCTTTATCTGTATGGTACATGTAGCTATACGTCATTGGTTTCTTGTGTGTGTTTTGTTGTTGTCGTTGTTGTTGTTTTACCGCTGCATAGTAGTCCGTGTTTCACATGTAATTTTCCTTCGGTGGCTATTTCAGCTGCCTCTAGCATTTTGCAGTGGCAAACAGTTCTGCGGTGAAGATTCTCATGCATGCCTCCCTGTGTGAACGTTTCAGTGCTGGGCCCTTGGAGGCTAGCCACAGGGTCCTGTCTGGACGCACTGGCCCTTATTTTATTACAAAGATGCCTTCTTCCATGGCAGTACCAAACTGCTCGTCTGTAGACCTTTATATATGTTACATCTACCCAACAACTCAGCCGAGTAGGGATTGCCATCGTATTTCAGAGGCAAGGAAACAAGAGCCCAAAGAAAGGCAACCATTTGTGGCAGGTCACAGGGTCTTATGCAGCAGAACCAGAATCTGATGGAGCCAACCACTTCTTCTCCATTATAGTATAAAGTTCTTACTGCAACAGAGTTTAAAGAAGAGTGGTCATCCAAAGGTCAAGAAGATGAGATCTGGTTTTGGTTTTGTTTTGTTTTTTGAGACTGGGTTTCTCTGTGTAGCCCTGGCTATCTTGGAACTCGCTTTGTAGACCAGGCTGGTCTCAAACTCATAAAGATCTGCCTGCCTCTGCCTCCCAAGTGCTAGGATTAAAGGCGTGTGCCATCATGCCCAGTGAAGATGAGATCTAAATAGCAGTTCAGGCTCAGAAAGCAGAAGTCTGGGGCTCCTGGCTGAGAGTAGTTTGTGGAGTCCTGGCAGGCTGATGCCTCACTGCAGGGTGTGATGGGTGAGGAAGAAGAGGCAGCCTGGCAAAGAACAGGATCAGGATGGGCGGTACAGAGTGGGGGAACGTGATCTACTAGATCTACTAGAGAGAACTCTCCAGCCATTGGTTGTCTGATTTGTTCCCTGGACTCTGCTCCATGAGTCCAGGATCTTCATGACACATGGATCTTCAGTGATCTGTCTCTGACTAGAGACTCCCATTCCAAACAAGACCCTGGCCTAAGGCTAACATGTCCTAGGGTCTAGCTATGGAGAAAACAGATGAGTCTCTGAGGAAGGTGAGGGATCATGGGAAGAAGGCACAAGCTGGGGTGAGAGCCTGACTACCAGCAGAGCTAGATTTGCCTTCTTCCCAACCTCCATCTCCATCAAGGGAAATGTCAAAGCAGTGGTCTGGCCCAGCCTTGTTTCTGCAGCTCCCTCTACCCACCCTAGTCCTGGGCCTTCCAGGAAGATTGCTAGCAGGTATTTTCTGGGAATTTAAGTGACCTGCTGACGGTAACCTTCCTCCTCTGTCCACAGACAATCTGATCAAAGCCATCTTGTCAGTCACCAAAGAGTACCGCCTGACCCCTGCCTTGGACAGGTGAGCCCACCCCCTTCCCCCGGGCTCTCTGGCCTGGGCGAAAGTGCCATGGCCTAGCTGCTCTGTGCTACACTGGACAGGTTCTCCACCATACCTCCCCATGCATACACTGTGGGTAGAGTGTAAATAGGACAGCTCTCTGGATGTGTATCTGCCGAGTCCATCACTCTGCAAGGCTCCTCAGTGCTCAGACCTCAGTGGTTTGGGACTAGGAACTAAAGATGATGGGGGTGTTGATAAAGGCATGCAGCAGGGAACAGATCTTAAGACTGAGGTAATGACAGCTCTGAAGCCCGTAGACCCTGGAGGGGAAAGCCTCAGATCAGGGTAGAGACAAGAGGCCAAGTGAGCAAGACTGTCAGCGGCCACCGGAGTCTAGAGGCTTGAATTGAAGCTAAGCCCAGTCTTAAGTCCTGAGGCACCCGGTTTTATTTCCCTCTTCGTCTCACTCTTCTGAGAGATCTTCAAGCTTCCCTCACTGTCCCCTCTCCTCTAAGGCCACCAAGGCTCATTAACCCATAGGGAACCTCTCTGCCCAGAACACAGTCTTTGCAGAGCTCCCTCCTTGCTTAACAAGCCAGTCCTCATGCCTCTGCCACGTTTTTCTTAGAAGTGTCAGACACCGGCAGTGTCAAGTGTCCCAGGGTCCAGCTTTCCGAGGTACGGCACTGGCCTCCTTCCAGAAGTGCTGCGTGGATCGGGCCAAAGTCACAGTAGAACTGAGGGCCAAGAGACAAAGGGAAGCAAAGCTGGGGTGCCACCCTCACAGGCCTCTGCTCTCTCCCCTCAGCCTCCACTGCCGCCGCTGCATCATTGTAGGCAATGGAGGGGTCCTTGCCAACAAGTCTCTGGGGTCACGGATTGACGACTACGACATTGTGGTCAGGTGAGCTCCCCTACACAACACCCTGGGCCCATGCATGTTGCGAACCAAATCCTGAGCCCTGTGCGCTGAGAACTGTCTGACCATCTGGTCACCTACAAGCCTCAAGAACACTGTTGGGTTGGCGGGTTTTAAATGAACGAACGAGTAGGTGACCTGGATCCCTACTCTATGCCTGGGGTGCTTGGGGTTCGGGGTACCTCCCCAAACACAGGCCGAAGGCCAGATCTGACTGCTCTGGCTCTTTGCAGACTGAACTCAGCACCTGTGAAGGGCTTTGAGAAGGACGTGGGCAGCAAGACCACCCTGCGCATCACCTACCCCGAGGGTGCCATGCAGCGGCCTGAGCAGTATGAACGAGACTCTCTCTTTGTCCTTGCTGGCTTCAAATGGCAGGACTTCAAGTGGCTGAAGTACATCGTCTACAAGGAGAGAGTGGTGAGCTCCTGACTACAAGCTCCCCGTCTCCTGCCCCCAGCCTCCCAGTCTCCCACACGTCCCTCCCACTGGACCCCACAAAGAACAAAGAGGAAACTTCAAAATGACCCAAAGCTAAAAGACAGCAAATCCACCATGGGACAGAGGCCACTCAATGGCAGGGTGCCTAGTGAGCCCCTGGAGCTGAAGTGCCCGCTCTCTGCTACCTACCTCTAGACAGCCAGGGAGGGCTGGTGCTGTCTCACATCCCAGGGAAGCAAACCTCTGGGCCCTATGGGCCAGCCCCTGTGTGACCCCCAGCCTTCTAAGGCTCCTACCTGGTCAGTAGCTGCCTCCCTGGCCCCACTTCCCTTCCATGAGGCCATCCTGATTGCTCTTAGGGTTTACCTCCTTCTCAACAGGGAAAGAAAGCCTTCTAGGATCCCAGGGCCATTCTGCAGGGACAGTGGACCTCAGTTCAAGGGTGCCAGCTCCAACACTCATGAATCCAGACCGTTTTTTACCTTGTATTTCACTGCCGCTAAGTCTCGTTCTCCTCCATGGGTCTGATCAGATTCTGTGCTAACTGCTCAAAGGTGGCCAGGATCTGGGCCCGTGTATTCAGGGAGTGTCTGTGGTAGGGTAGGTTCAGATTGCCCATTAGTAGACCACCTACTAGAGACCCCCCTAGACCTCTGTTTCCCAGTTCTGGGCCTGTGGGGACACCTGCCAACTTGTCCGAGTCTGTCTCCCACCCCCGACCCTGTCTCCTCCCCTCCGGTCATCACCTGCCACCCGGGGAGGGATGTGCAGGCTTAGGCCGTTCATCTCCCAGGGCCCAAGCCTCTTCCTGGAGACTGTTGACAGATTGCCCTCTGACTTCAGTAAGGAGCTGCTCCTTTCATTTTAGAAGTTAGGGGTAAGAACAGCTTAGCCTGCCCATGAGGGTCTCAGTGCAATTTGGTTTGACTCCACAGCCCCTCCCAAGCAAGGCCAAGTGCAGGCAGTGTCAAGTAGGTAGCAAGCAAGAGAGAAGACAGAAGTGAGGTCCAGAAGCTCAGGTAGGTGGGGCTGTGGGGAAGGGAGCCCGTCTCAGAGCCAGGCTGAGTGAGGCAGCTGGCTATACTGGGTGCAGCCCGGATCTCCAAACGGAAGGAAAGGGCAGAGAAGCAGGTGATTGCTTTGACTTCAAGCAAGCTTCCTGTCTACCAACTAGGGAGGAACAGGGCTGGGAGAGGATCCCTCTCTTTTCAGAATCTTTACAACTTTCCTGTTTGCCTCAAGGAAAGAGGCAAGCACTTCAGAGGCAGAAATGGGAATACCGTTGTGAACCTTCCTCATCTATGGTCTCTGCTCATCGGCCCATATGCTCCTGGCCCATAGACACCTGGCAAAGCTTGCATGATTTTCTCAGGGCAGGAGAGCCACAGGCTAGAGCCCTGATCCCATAGGGGTTTTCCCCCCATGGTGTCAGATCATTACACATGAACTGGGATTAGCTCAAACCAGTTCCTGCTTCCTAGGGGGCAGTGTGGAAAAGTGGGGCAGTCCAGATTCCTTGCAGACAGCAGCAGACCAGAGGGGCGTAGCAGCCAGCAGCATATAGTCATCTCTGCTTCCAAGAGCACCAAGGACGGTGGAGTCAAAGCTCTTCCTGTCTCCCCAAGGCAGGAAGGAGAGTCAGCTGAAGTGAGGGAGCGGCTCCCAGGAAGACTGAGGAGCTCACTCCTTGGTCTGGTGGCCTGGCCTTGGCAGCCAGAAGGTCACCACGATCCTGATACAGTGTGTGGGGCCATGTCATCAGGTGTGTGTGATGTGTGATCAGGCCCTCACTCAGCCCTGTCCTGGGCACGCATGGCCAGCCCGTGTCAGGGAGGACACCTTCTGAGTGTGATGGGGAGAGGGAAAATGCCAAGAAGTCTCCTGAAGTCCCGTGGGCTTTCTGTGTACCACAGTCAGGGATAGCTCCATTAGTAACAACGGCAATATCCATGCCTTTCTCAGCATCCCAAGTGTCATAGTCAGTGTTCTGTTTGCTGAGAAGGGACACTGTGGCCACAGCAACTCTTATACAAGAAAGCATTTAATTGGGGCTGGTTTACAGTTTGAGAGGTTTAGTCTGTTATCATCATGTGGGCAGCATGGTGGCATGCAGGCAGACATGGTGCTGGAGAAGTAACTGAGAGTTCTACATCCAGATTGGCAGACAGCAGGAAAAGAGGGCTACTGGCTCTATCCTTTCAAATAGTGTAGGCTCCCTTACCATCATTCAAATCTGTGAGCTTATGGGTGAGGGGACATTCTCATTCAAACCTCCACACAAGGTGAACCTCCAGAGGCCCGTTCTTGAGTGCCCCTCCCGCAAGCCTGAGGATTGTCCCCCAGGACATCTCTAAGCTACACATCACTTCCCTGGCCCCTAAGACCCAGGTAGGGTAGATATAAACCAGGTTGCCTTTCTCTGTCCTCCCTCTGGGGCTCAGCCACAGGCTTGGCCTACTCATGCAGTGATGTCTCTAACTGCTCAGCCTCTGGCTGCTGGCAAGCTCTTTTCCTGTCTAGAGTTTCACCTGCAGAATTCTGGCAGGAGATAACTCTGTGCCAGGGCCAGGGCTGGCTGGGCAGGACTAGAGCAGGTAGGAGACTCAGACCATTGGCTGCCTGCTGCTATGGTGCTTATGGTACATACCTTTCCGGTACCCAGGCGTCCGGATGAACACTGGAGACAGGGAAGATGTGGGAAAGGAAGATGGTTGATGGCTCTGCCCTTCCCCGCGTGTAACCATTTGGTTCTCTAACACATTGGACAGTGGCACAGATAGCTCCAAACTGGTCATCAAAAGACCTTTTCCTCCCTGGTCCCAGGAGCCTTGATGGAGCCAGCGAGAATGTCTAATGTCCCAGCAGACTGTATATGTCCGGCAGAGCGCTGCTGGGTACTGAGTAGGGGAGGAAGGCTAAGAGGCAGAGTGGAGCCCGGGAGAGGGAGAAGCAGTCAGGGATAAGTCTGTAATGGAGACATGGATCAGTAAAGGCTCTTCTCACAGGCAGCCTGCAGCCTCCCTGTGTCCTAAGCTGTTTGCCAGGTATTAGTGAGGTGCAAGCCCTGAGCCAGCCCCTAGGACTTCAAAGACAAAGTCAGTTCTGTTCTACACCAGAAGTCCAATGGGAGGCACAGTCCCCAAACTAGAATTATTGTGCAGGGCCGGAGGTGCCTTCTACAGCAGCTGAGGCAGGCGGGCAGGCCAAGAGAAGGCCTCCTGAGAGACACCGCCTGACTGGAAGGGGAAGGAAGAGCTAGGAGCAAGTCAGGTTTGCCAAGCAAAAGGAAGCTTCGCGTGGAGACCCCAGGAGGCCATTCTCCGCTTACGCAGTCTAAGGCTGTGAGGAAAGTGCACATAGCCTTTGATGTGGCGGCACATGAGGCCCAGTGTCCCAGATGCCATCGCCTGTCGTTATTCAGGCCTTAGATGAAGACCAGAGAAGATAGGGTGTGTGAAGGACAGAACACTTCATTCGCTCCCTCAGGCCACCACCTGTGCTTCTGCCAGCCTTCCCAGCGGTGCCTCAGGATGCCAGTGGTCCAGGGCTACAGAGCCCTTGTGGGACCTTCCCTTCCTTACCTGACACCTTCCCAATGACACTGGGAAACTGAGGTCTACTGAGAAGCCCCCTGTGTGGACCTGGCCAGTGTGACTGTGGTCCCAATATGCAGAGGGAAGGGAAAGAATAAGGCCTGAGGTAGCTCTTGGACTGTTACCACAGGCTTGACCATACAATGATACATTCTTTCCCCAAGGAAGGAGGGAGGGTAGAATTTCAGAGTCCAACCCAGGTCTCACAGTTGTGCTCAGGAGGTGGCCTCCGTTTGTTTGTTTGTTGTTTGTTTGTTTGTTTTAGATAGGCTGGCCTAGAACTCCAAGCCCATGATTGCCTTGAATTCAGGACAGCCCCCATCGGCCTCTCCCTCCCAAGTGTTGGGATTGTAGACGTGAATCACCGTGCTCAGCTGATGTTTTTAAAAATTAAGGTGAAATAGAGACGAAACTAGCACAGAAGGTGCGGTGAGGCCTCAGCCGCAGGCAGTTCCTAGTGTTTGTTTTCATGAGGCGAGGTTCATGCTAGCCCTGGCGGGGCTCAAACTGTTGGCAGTGTCCTCGCCTCATCCTCCAGAGTGCTGAGACTGACTCCTGCTTCCTTCGTGGCTCTTTTCACTGGTGGGTGCTGTCAGAGGAGCCCCCTTCCCCTAGGAAGTGAAGCCTTTTTCTGCCTAGGCTGTGGGGCCTGGCCTAGGTAGTGATGGGAAAAGAGGAGTCGGAGGCCAGGTCCAGAGGAGGGGAATCCGCTGTAGAACAACAGCAGAGCCGACAACAGAATCATCTGGGAGCTCTGCAGGGCAGGCCGGGCTGTCAGGTCCCAAACACGCGGCCTTGCTGGACAGGGCCCAGGTTGGGGATTGGATGTTGTCTATACTTGAGCCTCTACTCTGTTCCGACCTGAGAGAACTTTGCTCGGGGGAGGGGAGGGAAGCTAGATGAGGTAGCACTTTACCTCTGGGGGATACAGGGCAGGGCTTTCACACGGCCCAGCTGGAGAACAAGAGGTCCCAGACCTCTGTCCAGAGCCTGTGGCAACGGTGTTTTCTTTGCAAGACCAGCAGCAGCATCCATGCTGTTGCCGCAGGCATTGTTCCTCCTCCCCCTCCCCCCCCCATGCTGGTTTGCATTGCTTGCTCTGCTGCAGGTTTCAGCTCAGGCGCCAGGCTGCTCACCGCTGGCTTCTGCTCTTCATCATTGCCCTCTGCGTCCTGTTGCCTCTTCTCTCCTTTTTCTCATCAACACCACCACCATCATCATCATCACCACCATCATCATCATCACCACCATCATCATCATCACCACCATCATCATCATCACCACCATCATCATCATCACCACCACCACCACCACCACCATCATCATCATCACCACCATCATCATCATCATCATCAAAGCTCCTCAGTCCCCGCTTCCTTGAATCCC